AAAGATCAAAGTGGAAATAAATGACATAGACACTAAAAAAATAAATAAATAAATACAAAAGATCAATGAAACCAAGAACTGGTTCTTTGAAAAGATAAACAAGATTGATCAACCTTTAGCCAGACTCACCAAGAAACAAAGAGAGAGAACCCAAATAATTAAAATCAGAAACAAAAGAAGTGAAGTAACAACTGATACCACAGAAATACAAAGGATGGTAAGAAAATACTACAAACAATTATATGTCAAGAAATTGGATAATATGGGCAAAATGGACACATTCCTATAACCATACAGTCCTTAAAACTCAATCAGGAAGAGTCAGAAAACCTGAACAGACCAATAACAACTAAGGATATTGAAACAGTAGTCAATAAACTCCCAGCAACAAAAGCCCTGGTCTGAATGATACATTAGATCAGATGGATTTAAATCATATTAACAGAACATTTCACTCCAAAGCTGAAAAATATACATTCTTCTCAAGTGCACATGGAACATTTTCAAAGATAGACCACATGCTAGGACACACTGTAAGTGTCTACAAGTTCAAGAAGATTAAAATCATATCAAGCATCTTCTTGGATCAAAATGGCATGAAACTAGAATCCATTACAATAAAAACACTCAAAAACATTCAAACATATGGAAGCTAAATAGCACATTATTAAACAATGAATGGGCTACCAATGAGATCAAGAACAAAATAAAAAAAATTACTAAAAATTAATGAAAATGAACACACAACAACACAAAATCGATGAGACAGCAATAGCAGTCCTGAGAGGGAAGTTTATAGCTCTACAGGCCTACCTCAGAAAACAAGAAGAATCTCTAATACACAATATAACCCTAAAACTTAAAGAGATAGAAAGAGACAAGAAGAAAAACCCAGAGTTAGTAGAAGGAAGGAAATAATAAAGATCAAAGTGGAAATAAATGACATAGACACTAAAAAAATAAATAAATAAATACAAAAGATCAATGAAACCAAGAACTGGTTCTTTGAAAAGATAAACAAGATTGATCAACCTTTAGCCAGACTCACCAAGAAACAAAGAGAGAGAACCCAAATAATTAAAATCAGAAACAAAAGAAGTGAAGTAACAACTGATACCACAGAAATACAAAGGATGGTAAGAAAATACTACAAACAATTATATGTCAAGAAATTGGATAATATGGGCAAAATGGACACATTCCTATAACCATACAGTCCTTAAAACTCAATCAGGAAGAGTCAGAAAACCTGAACAGACCAATAACAACTAAGGATATTGAAACAGTCAATAAACTCCCAGCAACAAAAGCCCTGGTCTGAATGATACATTAGATCAGATGGATTTAAATGATATTAACAGAACATTTCACTCCAAAGCTGAAGAATACAGATTCTTCTCAAGTGCACATGTGACATTCTCAAAGACAGACCACATTGTAGGACACACTCTAAGTGTCTACAAGTTCAAGAAGAACTTCACAGGGGAGTTTTATCAAACATTCAAAGAAGAACTAATACCTATTCTCCTTAAACAATTCCAAAAAATTCAAGCGGAAGGAAGAATTCCAAGCTCTTTTTATGAGGCCACCATAATCCTATTCCAAGACCAGATAAAGATACTACAAAGAAAGAAAATTATAGGCCAATATCCTTGATGAACATAAACAACAAAATATTCGCAAATTGGATCCAGCAGTATATTTAATAAATTATTCACAACAACCAAGTGGGGTTTATCCCACAGATCACAAGGCTGGTACTATATTCGCAAATCAATAAATGTGATACTCCACATAAACAAAATGAAAGATAAAAATCATATGATCATATCAGTAGATGCTGAAAAAGCATTTGACAAAACCCAGCCCTCTCTTTTTTTTTTTTATCCTCACCCGAGGACATTTTTCAATATTTTGTTCAGATAGAGTGGGAGGGAGAGAGAGAGAGAAACATCAACATGAAAGGGACACATTGAGTGGTTGCCACCCACACAACCCAACCAGGGCCAGGGACAAACCGCAACCGAGGAACGTCCCCTTAGCGGGAACTGAACCCAGGTCTCTCTAGACTGCAGGCTGACGCTCTAACCACTGAGAAAAACCAGCCAGGGCAATGCAGTCCTCATCTTTGATAAAAACTTTCAGGAAAGTAAGACTAGAAGGATCATACCTCAACATAATAAAGGTGATACATGTCAAACCTACAGCCAACATCATACTCAATGGGCAAAAAAAATCATTTCCCTTAAGAACAGAAACAAGACAGAGATGTCTTCTTTTACAACTCTTATTAAACATGGTACTGGAAGTCTTAGCCATAGTAATCAGACAAGAAGAAAAAATAAAAGGCATCCAAATTGGAAAGGAGGAAGTGAAATTGTCATTATTTGCAGATTACATGATATTGTACATAGAATACTCTAAAGACCCCACCAAAAAACTACTAGATTTAAAAAATGAATTCGGCAAAGTGGCAAGATACAAAATTAATGTCCAGAAATCTATGGCATTTTTATTTTTATTTTTTTATTTTATTTTTTTGGGTACATGCCCCTAGCAGGAACCAAACCTAGGACTCTCTGGTCCGCAGGCTGATGCTCAACCGCTGAGCCAAACTGGCCAGGGCTCGATGGCATTTTTATATACCAATAATGAACATTAAAGAAAAACTAAAAACAAACAAAAAAAATCCCCTTTACCATTGCAACAACAAAAATTAAGATACCTAGAAATAAACTTAAGGAGGTAAAAGACCTGTTCTCAGAAAAGTACAGACATTGGAAAAAGAAACAGAGGAAATATAAAAAGAGTGGATGCATATACCATGTTCATGGATTGGGATAAATAACACTAAAATGTCCATACTACACAAAGCAATCTATAGATTCAGTGCAATCCCTATTAAAATATCAACAGCATATTTCACAGATCTAGAACAAATACTCCAAAAGTTTATAGGAAAAAAAAAATCCCAAATGGCCACAGCAATCTTGAAAAAGAAGAACAAAATTAAAGGGATCACAATTCCGGTTATCAGGTTATACTACAAAGCCATTGTAATCAATATAGCCTGGCACTTTTAATAAATGATGTTGAGAAATTGGACAGGTACATGCAAAAATAAATAAAACTAGACCACCGCCCTGGCTGGTTTGGCTCAGCGGTTGGAGTGTCCGCCTGCGGTCCGGAGAGACCCGGGTTCAGTTCCCGCTAATGGCATGTACCTCGGTTGCAGTTTGTCCCCGGCCCTGGTTGGTTGTGCGGGTGGCAGCTACTCGATGTGTCCCTTTCACATCGATGTTTCCCTCTCTCTCTCTTCCTCTCTCTCCCTCCCACTCTATCTGTACAAAAAAAGGAAAAATGTCCTCAGGTGAGGATAAAAAAATAAATAAATAAATAAAAAATAAAAATAAAATAAAACTAGACCACCAACTTACACCATACACAAGAATAAACTCAAAATGGATAAAAGACTTAAATGTAACTCGTGAAATCATGAAAATCACAGAAGAAAAGGTAGGCAGAAAAATCTTAGACATCATATGTAGCAGAATTCTCACCAATACATCACCAAAGGTAAGAAAAACAAACAAAAAATTAATAAATGGGACTACATCAAATTAAAAATCTTCTAGACAGCAAGAGAAACCATCATCAAAATGAAAAAGAACTCACTGTATGGGAGAACATATTTGTCAGTAATACACTGGATAAGGGTATAGCTCAACAAAAGGAAGACAAACAATCCAATTAAAAATGAGCAGAGGACCTGAATAGACACCTCTCCAAACAGGACATACAAATGGCCAAGAGACATATGAAAAAATGCTCAACATCACTAATCATCAGAGAAATGCATATTAAAACAACTATGAGGCATCACCTCACACCTACCAGAATGGCTGCCATCAACAAATCATCAAACAACAAGTGCTGGTGAGGGTGTAGAGAAACGAGGACTCTAGTACACTGCTGGTGGGAATGCAGGCTGGTGCAGCCACTATGGAGAACAATATGGTGTCTCCTCAAAATATAAAAAATGGAACTGTCATTTGACCCAGTCATCCCACTTCTAGGAATATATCCTAAGGAGCTTGAAACACTAATCAGAAAGAATTTTTGCACCCCTATGTTCATAGCAGCGCTATTTACAATAGCTAAGATCTGGAAACAGCCCAAGTGTCCATCAGTAGATGAATGGATAAAAAAGCTGTGGTACATATACACAATGGAATACTATGCAGCTATAACAAAAACAGATCTCTTACCCTTTGAGATGACATGGAGGGACCTTGAGAGTACTATGCTAAGCAAAATAAGCCAGTCAGAGAAAGACAAGTATCACATAATTTCACTTATTTGTGGAATATAGTGAACAAAATATGATGATGAACAAAACAGATCCAGAGACATGGAAGTAGGGAACAGACTGACAAACCTTAGAGGGAAGGGGGTGGGGAGGCAGGAAGAGAGAAACCAAAGTACTTATACACATAACTAATGGACACAGACAACAGTGTGGTGGGGTGGGGAGGGAGCAGGTAGAAGGTGTCAATGGGGGATAAAAGAAGGGACATCTGTAATACTTTCAACAATAAAAAATAAATAAATAAAGTAAAGGCTACTTTTCTCTCCAGTAAGACTGCTCTGCAGGGATCATAATCACAGGGCACAGTTTGTACGGAGAGTACCATTTTTCACAGAAGCCAGTTAATGATGAAAATTAGACATAAAAAAATACACAAGGTTGCTCTCACATCAGAATTATTATTCCTACCTTTGTTGGTCTAGTGGACTATTGAGAATCCTTTCCTTTGGTAATACTTTTAAATTCTTCTGAGGAGACCATTAGTTTTCATTATTTTTTAATATCCACCATAAACAACACACACACACACACACACACACACACACACACACACATATATAATTTAGCCTTTGAAATGCTAATTATCCATGAAGCAATCAGTATGTAAAGATGTGTACCCTAGATTACTCACCAGAGGGAGAAGAAGTCAGATGTCGAACAGGTCTTGCTGGTTGAAGCGATTTACCAATCAATTTTTTGGTTTCCATTATCACAAAGACCGTGAGGTTCCATACTTTAGGAGGGAAATGTACATTTTATTTTTAGGACAAGATAACCATGATGCTTTAAGATATTCATCTGAAGATAGCTATTTTATAAGTTATGGTGGGAAACACAAGAGCAGCACTGAAAACCGTAGGCAACGTTAGACCCTTTATGGCATGTCACACTGAACATTCCCTCTTTACATTTTCCTTCCTTAATTTACCTCTTTTCTTTTGGTTTATTTTCTGTTTCTTTAATTGCCTCTCCTAGTTTCCTCAGCTGATTCCTCTTCTTTATTCCAATGAAACTTAGGAATTCTTCCAAATTTGGCTTTGGTTTTCTTAGCTAACCTCACCTATTCTCATTATTGCAACCATTCATCTATACGATAAATATGTATCTAGCATCTACCTCTCTTAATCCTTTATTTTTCTAATTGCACAAAGACATTTCCATTTATAGTTATCACAGAAACCTCAAATTCAACATATCCAAAATGAAATGCATGGCTTTGACTCCAAAGATGTCCCTCCTCCTGTATTCCTTATAGTCATCAACTCCCTCAAAGCACCCCAATTAAAGATAACTTCAAGGTGGACATTCTAATTGAGAATCCCCACACCATAATCAGTCTCTAATTCCTGTCCATTGTACTTCCAAATATCTCTCAAATCTATTTTCTTCACTCCCACCACTATTCTTTCAGTTCCACGGAAGTTTTTAATTCATCTCCCTAATCACCCAGTCTGATTTAAATACTCCCTCTCCCTATGCTCCTGGGACGCAGGAAATATGCCACATCAGGGTATTCAGAGAGGATGTACAATACTAAAATGGCTAATTTATTTGTCTTCCATACTAGAAAGTGAGGAACAGATTCTTCTTAAACTGAACAAATGGGTGAATACAGCATCTTTCTCTCCAAACCGTGATCCCTTTACACACACACCTGCTGAAACTTCTGTCCTCCATCACCTCCCGGACTGTTAATAACAGAAACAGGAGCTAACATTCCTGTGTCATGCATAGTGAACCATTTACCTAAGTCACATTATTTAATATTCAGAACAACTCTATAAATTAGTCACTATTAACAGAGTTCAGGTCTCAGGTCAGCCTTCCTGACCATGTAGCATAATTATGGAAAACAAGAGCCTTCATCTCCTAGGTTGTGAAAGATGTGAAGACTAAATCAGATCACCTGTAAAAAGCATTAGCACAATGCTAGGTACATGGTAGGATTTCAATAAACATTAGCTTTTTTTTTTTTTTAATCCTAATTTTAGATAAGGCTTAGAGAAGTTAGGTAACTTGTCCAAAGTCATGCCTCTACAAAGTGATGGCCATGTCCACGCCCACGCCTTCAGCCAGCATTTTGCAATGAAGCAGCCCCAACCTCTCTCCACCCCATGACCAGACAAAACTACTCAAATCAAGTCCCCTTACGTGCTCACAAAGCACCCCTGCATCCTCTTCCAAAGTCGTACTTATTGCACAAACTGCCATGACATATGGTCTGACTATTAAATTACAGCACTTTTACTCAGATATATTTCCAAACTGCATCAAGACCAAAGCTAAGTTCTTGCTACCTCCTTGGAAAATATCCTCATGTCTCAACAGTAACATTAAACAAAATAGTTTATATAGGTCTCTAGTTCCTAACAAATCATTGACAGTAAAATAATAATATAATTTCTCTTTCTACCTACACTGGTCGCTACTGTATTTTGTCTATCAAGTTTTCTAAAATATAGCATAGTAAATCTACTACAGTCATACCTCCAAGATACTGCAGTGTCAATTCCAGACCACCATAACAAAGTGAGCATGCAGTAAAGCAGCACAGCAAGTCCTGATCTTTTTGCTGGTGGAGGGTCTTACCTTCTACTTGTTAAAAAAACACACTTGAGAAACGCATTAAGACCAGGTATAGTTGAACATGCCTATTTGGTTAGACTGAGCTAGCTGAGGCCAAAAAAAACTAGACTGTATTTATCTTTGTATCCTAATACCTGCAACATAATTAGTTTTACTAAATATATCTATAAATGTAAATACTTCCTAAATATAACTAAAATCTTCTGACGCTGGAGTGGAATACAGGTTTTCAAATTTTGATGCCTATCAAGACAAAGTCAAAGGTGTTTAAACCTCCAACTGACTTTGCACCAGCTCATCCAGAAATAATCGTAACTATATGATCATGAACAGATCATTAGTCTAGGTGACTGTCAAGTGACTGTATAAAACTGGGTTGCCTTTTAGCTCCAGAGAAATGCTTTCATATATTTTTTAAATGTCTGTTAATGTAATTCAAATGTTAAAATCATAAACTTATAAACAACCTCTCAAAGTTAGCAATGATAAATAAGCACAAAATAGTGAACCTTTTTCCTGAAGTTTAGAGGTAAACAAGCTAATACCTATCTAGCTTCATACATAATGTCTCTGTTAACCGGTATTTCACCATGGCTATTAATAACATTCTAAACAAGAAAATGTTTTCTGTATTAGCTGGCAATACAACTTTGGTATAATAGGAAACAAAAAAGTTATAAGCAGCCTGACCAGTGCGGCTCAGTTGGTTGAGTGTCATCCCATGCACCAGGAGGTCACCTCCGTGTTTGATTCCCAGTCAGGGCACATGCCTGGGTTGTGGGCTCGATTCCCCCAGGGGGGTGCATGCAGGAGGCAGCGAATCAATGTTCACTCTCATTAATGTTTCTATCTCTCTCCACCTCTCTCTGAAATCAATAAAAGCATATTTTTTAAAAAGTTATAAACATGAGTAGCAATATTTATTGAATATTTTCTATGTGGAAGGAAATACTTAAAATGAGGACCAAAAGCAATCTAGTATTGTATAATTTAATGTTTATGCTAGTCGTTTTAGCTGGGACACTAACAGTAGTATGTAGTAACTTTCCATCCTGCTTCCTACATGAAACAAATGAATCAGAACACAATAGAGTACTCTGACACCCCTTTCTTGTTTCTCATTGCTCAGCTGAAATTGAGTTGGTAGGCTGTAAAGTCTGTTCTAGTTGCTGAGCAATGCAAATCTACAGTATTCAAATGAGGGACTGTCAAAAGTTGGGGAGTTACAGAACTACTATATAATTTTACAACATAAGTAAATAAACAAAAAATAAAAGAACTTTAATACCACCTACCCTTTCAATTTGTAGTAGGAAAACTGCAGCAAAGGCTCCAGACATGGAAACCACAACAGTTAAGGAAATTAGAAAAGATGGTGCCACAGAGATGCTGACATTACAGGGAATGAGTTCGGGATGCATACTACATAAGAGCATCATGTCTGAAACAGTGTTATTAATGGAAAAGGCAAGTATTTATAAATAATTATTATTGTAAAAGTGATCCACAGGATCATAATCTATGAAGAATAGGACGCCACAAACCAAAGCCTAGTTCTCAGTTTAAAACAATAAAGACTTAACAGAACTATGATGTCAGTGCAAAAAACAACTTCACCTTTAAACTCTAACTCAATGTACAGCTCCAAAATTTCTTTAGACTCGAGGGCAGGCATTTAAATCAACAGTTACAAAGAACAATAGTTGCAAAAGAAACACAATCCTACCTACAACATCAGGTAGCAAGTAGTGGACCTCAATGTTTATGGGTAGGGCAAAAGTAGGTTTACAGTTGTGAATACATGAAAGAGGTTATTCTTGCATTATTATTTATTAGTTATTGCATTATTTTCCATACAAACAACTGTAACCCTACTGCTTGCCCCACCTTGTATACTAATCTTTTAAAATGAAAACTCCATTTTTTTCAGATCCTAGTACATGCTAAATGTTTTATATATAATATCTCTAAGTTTGAGCCATACAGTAAATGTTATAGAAAATCATTATTAATTCACAGATGACTCAGAAAAATAAGGCATGCTCAAATTCCTAGTTAGTAATTGGTAAAAATGTAGACTTGATCATAAAGTTCAAGCCCTCATCTGTACACTTGGGTGTGTGGTGATTAAAAGTAAGACATCTGACTCTCCACTAGTTCATGTAGACATTTCTTGTATGAATTTTTTAAAATTAATTATGAGTAGGGAGAGTTATGTATAAAGCTTTACTGAATAAATTGGTATGTTCTAACATTTCTGTTTCCTCAATTTACAATTTTTCTTAGAATACGAAATAAATTGTGGGATTATTATTCTTTCCTCATTATGTAGACATGATACGCTGCCATATCAATCATAAATCACAATGTAAGAAATATACTGTACTTGAAAGCTGGGTATCATACTTAAATTTTCCAACTTAACATTATAGATTTATTTAAAAAGTACTAAATAAGAAATAAGATCATGAGCCTGGCCAGGTAGCTCAGTTGGTTAGAGTGTTGTCTTCGTATGCCAAGGTTTCCGGTTCCATCCTGGGTCAGGACACATACAAGAATCAACCAATGAGTGCACAAATAAATGGAACAACAAATCAACGTTTCTCTCTCTCCCTTCACCTCTCCATCTAAAAATCAATAAATTCTTTTTAAAAAGAAGCACCTTATAAAAAAGAAATAAGATCATATAAAGTTAAAGAAATAAGCTGAGATAAATGAAACGACCTGGCTTTCATCTACCTCATGTATATTTCCTACATGATAACCAAGTAAGATGTAATCTCCATTTTCCACTTCGTAATAGTACTTTTGCAAAGTTAAGATTCCCAGGAACCAAATGCTGTCTGTAAATTAACAACACCTACATGCACACCTCGGAGACATTGTAGGTTCAGCTCCACAACACCTTAGTGAAGCATGTGTCCCAATAAATCGGGCTGAAAATAAATGCAACACCGTGGGGCACTACAGAGTGGGATGCAGTACAAGGTGTGGGGGAACCAGCAAACCGATGAAAAGTAACATAAAAACATAAAGAACATAGAGGGAGTCCTGGCCAGTTTGGCTCAGCAGTTAGGGTGATGCCGGAAGACCAAAGGGTCGTGGGGGGGGGGGGGCATAGATAGAGTTAAGAGACAAATCAACATGACTGAGGTGAAGACATTTTCATCAGGTTGAAACTAAAATATCAAAAAGTCATAAGCCCAGAGTGTTCCATGACATTTTCCATTTCACGCCTTCTCTTTACAACTGACCCAATATTTTCCTCTGTGAAGTGTCCTTCAATTCTGTACAACTGAACGTTTAAGGGGTGCTTGTGATTGTCACAATGTGGGAACTGCCTTTGTACAGACGTTTACAGTAGCTTTGCCTCAAATGCCACTACTTAAAACGTTTTTAAAGGATTATAGTGCCAGTAGAGGGTTCATAGCATTCATTCTCTGAATTGGAGATTTTAAACTTTGTTCAATTGATCAGAATATAGATTTTTAAACCTAAAATCGGTTCATATTTACGTATTTTGTAATACCTGTAAAACTTTCTGCACCTCGATTTCTTTTTCCTTTTTTTTTTTTGAGCAAAGATGGGATTTTTTAATACAAATATCCAATCATTGTGTTTCACGCCTGAAACGAATGCTGTATGTCAGTTAATGGCACATCCTACATCTTCATTAACCATTGGTTTTCTTCTGTGAACTGACCATACATGGTTCTCGGGTGGTTGTTTTTTTCCTTTTCTATTGGGTTTTCTTTTCTTGTTGAATAGGATTTCAGGTAAGTAGTTATTACTTTGTTATTTTATTAGTAACAAAAACTGCAGTAATGTGGAAAAAATAAACCAAAAAACCAGTTTTGCCTGAATTTAGTACGGACGATGCCGAGGTCCGGGCGACGAAAGGGGTTCCTAGCCCACCTCCCAGGATCGGGTCCGGGACCGGGGCGCCGGGGACCGTCTCCGGGGGCCTGCCCCTCCTTCCAACGGGCTCGCTGCCTCCGCTTCCCGCCCGGCGCACCCCTCTTCCCCCAGCGCCCCGCTCCGCCGCGCAAACGGCGCCCACCCGCTCCTCGGCGCGGCCCGACCTCCCGGACACCTACCGCCTCAACGTCCGGGAGGACTGGGGCCAGCAGTGTCGCCGCGCTCAGCCCCGACGCGGCGGCCGCCAGCACCGCTGCCCGTCGGGGAACGGCCTCCGCAGCGCGTCCGCTCGAGTCCGGGGCGTCGGGGGCGCGGCCGAGGGCGGCTGGGGGGGCGCGCGGGGCGAGGGCCGTGAGCGGGGCCGATGGCGACTTGGTGGGGGCGGGGGCGGGTCGAGGGGCGGGGCCGATGGTGGCCGTGGCGGCTGTGGGGCTCCAGGGTGGGGTCGTCAGGGCGGGGCCAGGGCGGTTTAGAGGGCGCGAGGGAGGCCGGGGCGCCGGGGCGGGGCCGGGGCGGTTTAGAAGGCGTGAGGGAGGCCAGGGCGGGGCCGGGGCGGGGCGGGGCCGGGGGCGGGGCCGGGGCGGCGGGGCGGGGCGCGGAGCCGTGTCCGAGGTGCTGACCGGGCTCGCAGAGGCCGCGGCTGGTCCGCGGGAACAGCGTGCGGGTGCCAGGCGCGGCCCTGCTCCCGCTGACAGGCGGCCCGGCCTAGTCTGGGAGCCGATCCCGCGGTGAGAGCGGCCCCGCCCGGGAGTTCGGTCGGACTGGGATGCGGGCCCACAGGAGTGACAACTGGAGGTGAATTCTTCATGTCACGCAGATTGCTGTCCTGGGAGGAACAAAAGTAGTCGTCACAACTCTGTCCGAATCGACGTTAATTTTCGATCTTCTCCTTTGCAGGTTTATTCCAGCCTTGGGGACAGTTGTGGGGACAGATCTGGGGCCGCAGGACAGGACCACCCAGGATTCTGCCGAGCGGTTCGCTGCAGGAAGAGGGTTGAAGGGAAAAGTCTTGCCAGTGCTGGCATCCAACAGGAGTGGTGGCGTGAATCATATTTTGAACCTTTTCGTGTTTTTTGCTTGTTTGTTTTTGTTTGTTTAATTGAAAGATCACTCTGACTGCAGTATGAAGGGTAGATTTTTGGAGAAGACAGCAATATTAAACCGGACACAGAAAGGCTTCCTTGGAGGTGTTTGCGATCACTGCAGAAAGGAACAGGGTCTGGGAAAGTTGAGAAGTGAAATTAATGGAGTTTAGTGACAGTGAATGCAAGGGGTGAATGGGAGAGAATCTGGGGTGACTCTTGGGTTTCTGCTTTAGGAGAACAAGTGAATAAGTAGCTGGTGGTGACATCTCGTAGAGGATACAGGAGGAAGAACAGGTTTGGGGAAGGAAATATGAGTTTAGTTTGGGACTTGTTTGTAAATATGACATTATAATAGGATATTTAAGTTGAGGTGTCTGAACAGCTATTTTATATATTCCCAGGCATGTATACCATGCATACACATATATGTCACAGGCTTATTATAGATCGATTGAAACTTTGAGAAAGGGTTGATGATTAAGAAGTGTATACATTCTACTGGGAGAAGATGCCATCCAGGATTTTCACAGCTAGAGCAGAGAAGTTGGTGCTGGCTTCAAAGCCTCAAAGGACTGACTGACTCTCTTATTAGGGGCTCAAGCAGCTGGTGACTTTAAGTTGATGGCAATGCTCATTTACTATTCTGAAAATGCTAGGGGTTTGAAGAATTGTGCTAAATGTACTCTGCCTTTGCTGTGTAAATGAAACATCAAGGCCTGAATGATAGCACACCAGTTGTAAGTAACACGGTTTACTGAATATTTTAAGTCCATTGTTGAGACCTACTGCTCAGAATAAAAGATTCCTTTCAAAATATTACTGCTCACCGACAGCGTACGTGGCCACCCAAGAGCTCTGAGGGAGATGTCCAAGGCGACCAATGTTGTGTTCATGCCTGCTAGCTCAGCGTCCATTCTGCAGCCCACGGATCAAGGAGTACTTTCAACTCTCCAGTCTTGTTATTTATTAAATATATTGTTAAAAATGGAATATAACAAGGAGATTTTTGAACAATAGTCTTTATTAGTGTATTTTCAAAGGTACATATATAATCCTGAGCTACCGCATTTATATAGGTATCATTTACTCTTTGACGTTTACATGTATTTTCTTCCAAACTGATGAGTATATTTTTGTACTAATCAGGAACGCAAATAAATTAAAATATTGTTCTTATCCCTAGAATATCCAATTAATTTACTCAGATCATCCCATTTTCTAACTCTACATTGAGGGCTTTAGAACACTGTTTTTCAACCAATTTCTTTTTCAAAACTGCAAAGACAGGCAGTGTAAGAGCTGATTCCTTAAATCCTGGTGAAATCCTTGAAAACTGTGTTTTGTTTTTTTATCTGTAACCTTTTTTCATGAATACATTTTAATGATCTGACCAGCTATCTTTGAGAATGGTAAGAGTAACTGCCTCTAATCTCAACATTGTAGCTAGTGTGAAATGTCATTGGCTCCCTTCATACACAAGTAGTCCATAATTATCCCAATAAGAAAAAGTTACCATGATTTAATGAAGAGTGCAACCCAATGTAAATATATATTTGTTTAAATGGTTAAGTATTATAAAACATATTATGTAAAATACTTCATCCAGGCTCTGTAAAGAAATACATACAGCTGATTAACATTAAATTCATAGATCTAGACCAGAACTTTTATAATTGGTAAATAAAACAACAGACAAAAATAAAAGACAAAAGTCCTGTGATCTTTGAGAAAGAAAACATTTATCCAACATCATCTTAAACTGGACAAATAAATATTTTCATTATTGTATTTTAAATTACTACCAAAATAGTGTATCTTTCTACAAACAACAAAAAACAAGCATACAGTATCTAGAAATGGTTTTTATATGACAAGAATGTCAAGTCTTTGAAGGTACACTCAAATTATTTCCTGAATAAGGTCACTATGATCTTAGGTTAAAGTTACAGTAAGCAATTCAAGCAAAATGCATATTGCTTAGATTTTAAAGCAGGCAACTTGATAGTTTAATTAAAATGTAAGTATAAATGTAAAGCTATTGTAGAAATATTTATAAACACTTCTTGGGAATCCGCACAGATCAGCAAGTGATGGAATAAGTGATTTAAAAATGAAAGGTGATGTTAGATCTAATGCTTGATGACAAATCCAAAAATATGTTTAAGAGATGTAAAAGAACATGAAGAGATGCTTTATTTGGAACTTGAAACCCTAGCAGCAAAACAAACTATTATTTGCATATAATGTAGTGCAATGAACATTTGTTCACAAGACTCCCAAAGTCTTAAAACTTTATACATAAACCAGAAGGAAATTCGCTGGGAAAACATTTAAAGATGTCCAAAGCAGCTTATCAAGAACTGCTAGATACTCTCACCTGCACCACTTACTCATAAGCAAACTTATGCAAAACTGTGTTCTGGATAACTCACTCTTATGGCTCCCCAATAACAAGCTCGAATAAGGCAGATTAAGCCTAAGAGATAAGCAATTGCCCACGAAACATAGGTTGCATGAAATCGCCTTGCAAAATCTTGGGTGCCAACCTAAAATAGAAAGCAATATAAAAACAAAAGGTTGGAAACTTAAAAAATAATTATTTGCTTAGAAAACTTGCATTGGTTCACATGTGATTTTATGAACTATATCTCTGCGACCACAAAATCCCTATAAAATATGAGTTGGTGTACTTTTGACTATCACTGACAAGGTAAAATTATTAAGATGCTGCTGCAAGTTATATTACCTATAAATGTTATGAACTAAGCAAGGAAACCCACTAAAACATGTTATTTCTAAAGGAACTTAATCTATATAATTCCACCTGCCTAGTGGTATGGGCACACGTGCAACCAAGGGACGTGGAAAGTAAACGGCAGCAAATATCAGCCCTTTTCCACCCCCAGGATAATCCCCACACCAACTTCTTAGCTTCAGTCTCCTCTGAAATCCAGCCACCCTCATGCTGATAAAAACCTCTGCTTCACTTGACTAAAGAGAAGAATGGTTTTTCAGGCCTTCATGGATGATTCAGCTTTGGCTATGGTCAAATTGGTTCTGGCATTAAGTGAAAACAAATGGGCTTCTGTTAAATGGATGGTAGAATCTCCAGTGCAAGGACCTTCAGACAGGTCCCAAGACAACATTTCCCTTGAATGGATGAGCTCCACTAAAAAGAGGTCCATGGACTGAACTTCCAATTGCCCATAGTCCTTCAGAAGGTTCACGACCTGGTATGCCAGGGAGGCAGGCTCTTCAGGCCTCACTATTTACTTGTGATAAAGTTGAGAGGAAAGAATTCTAATGGTGAGTAGAGTAATACTCACAGTTAATCCAACTCCAATGAAAATACACATCATTCCAATGGTAATATATGCACAGCAGCGTCTTCGTGGAAGAGCACAACCCACTGAGGAGCTGCAAATTCATGAGAGTAAGAGAGATAAGTATCCACATACTCTCCGTGCCATCTGTGTGGGTACTCATCTACAGCTTCAGTGACATACACACTTTCATTTATTTCTTCAAGTTCAGAGACAAGAACCTGCCTTTTAAAAATGTCATTTTTAATGACTAACATGAATCATAATCATAAATAGTGAGTTTATGACATACTGTGGCTTTAAACAAAGTTTAAGCTCTGATCATTGACAATATCCACACACAAAACCAGGGTGGTAAGTAATGATCTTTCAAGATAAAAATCTATGTTTAAAAACTCTATTCCAGAATGGAAAATTAGTGCTATCTTACAAACAGCATTTGATTTTTTTCAAAAAGAAAAAGCCATCTTTGTTTCATGTCAACATTAAAAGTAAACACTAAATCATTTACCTGTGTATCCGTCTCCAGCAGTTTAATCTACCATGCATTAGAAACCAACAGTTTATTAGGATTGTGTGTTGGATAAGTCCAATGGTTTGTTTTTATTGTTATGTTCTTTTAAAATTTATTTTTCATTGAAGAAAGAAATTGGATAGGAAGAATTAACGTCATTAAAACGACCGTACTAACCAAAGCGATCTATAGATTCAACACAATTCCTATCAAAATACCAAATGATTTTTTTCACAGAACTAGAACAAATAATCCAAAAAATCATATGGAACCACAAAAGGTTCTAGGTGAATATTGAAGCAGCTTTTCTGTGGGCCAAAAGAATACA